TATTTGGCACAGATTTATAAAGACTGTCTGACCCTCACTTACAAAGACAGCACAATGTAGGTGAACAGAACTTAACTCTTCCATATCTTAAGGACATGAAATCTCCTGTGTCTCAGGCATAGCATTTGTTTTGTATGACCTTATCAATGTATTGGAATATCATAGAATAGTGCACTACAGAGGTGTGGAAGGAATAGGGGGCTTTGTGACTCTCTAGTACAGCAGAGCTACTACAGAATTGGCTCTCCAGTGGCTCAACTATCTCCTGCCACCTCAATAGTGTTGATTTATTGTCGCTCACAGTGCATCAAAAACATCCAATCTATGGATTTAACAGTGACCAGATTAAGATGTTTTGCTGGAGAGCCTTGTCACAAGAAACAAGAAATCCAGCAAGAAATATGTGATCTTCAGTTTCAATGTGAAGACAGATAACAGTCTTCAAATGTATTAAGGGCTGTTAAAGAGGACGGTGATCAATTCTCCATTGTGCTCCATGTCCACTGAAGGGGGACTAGAAGTAACTGGCTTAATTGGCAATAAGGGATATTTAGGTTATATGTTAGGAAAAAAGACTTTCTAATTGTAAGGATAGTTAAGCTCTGGTATAGGCCTCCTAGGGAGGTTGTGGAATCCCCGTCATTGGAGGCTTTTAAGAACAGGTTGGACAAACCATCTGTCAGTGGTGGTCTAGGTTTACTTGTTCCTGACTCACATTAGGGTGGAGGGAAACTGACTAGATAACCTCTTGGGGTCCCTTCCAGCCCTACATTTCTATGAATCTATAAATATGGGAAGCAGTGCACAGTAGAGGATTTTTCTGACAGCAGCAGGAAAATTTAGTTCTAAAGGCAGCTCTTTTTCTTGTCTTGTGACTTTAAATTTCATGACTACAATTTGATATTTGTATAATTAGATGAATTCTCTGAGATAGGCTCTTGTTGGGGATTTTGATGATACCATATTTCCCTAACAGTGCCACTCTCTGGAAAAGGTCTTTTTCTGGGTTTGGACCCATTGTCCAGTATCTAAACTTTCCATTAGGAAAAGCAGGTGATATATAGCATCTAAATGGCATGGAGTCATAAAAATGATCCATCTCTCACCAGCTGACAGCTCGAAAAATTCATATTTCTTTTTTTAAAACAAATTTAAATAAAGCATCTGTTTAATTAGGATTAGGGCCCCATTACACTAGGTGTGGAATAGACATATATGGAGTCACTGTCAGCCCAGAAAACTTATAGAAATCTAAGGCCCTGATCTGATACTGTACAGAGAGACACCAGAAGTAAATGGGGCACCTGTATGAAAGGGCCCACTCACATGGAACACCTGGAAGAATGGAAGCCTAAAATAACAAGTGACACATGAAGGATGGGTGGAGAAGGATACAGTCCAATATATAAAATACACAGACCTTCATCTCTCTACCCTGGGCTTTCCCTGCCCTCCCCCCTTGGCTCTACACACACACACACACACACACACACACACTGCTCTTGTTCCCATTCCTCTCCCTTACCATCTGTTCCACAAATGCATTGCCCCATAGAAACAAATGGTCTTAGAGACACAGCGACTGGTGAGTTATGAGAGAGGAGGACTTTGTCTAAGTGGAAAGCCCATTTGCTCCACAAGTCTCTCCTATTCTTTCTTTAGAATGCAGGTGTGGGGAGGGTTGAGAGTACAGTTCTCCACACAACATGTGCGACTTGATAGCTTTGTGGTCCATAGCAATATACTACTGTGGTAAGAATGGAGATAAGCAGCACTAAAATACAGGGAAGTCATATTCCTTTGGATGTGTCATTTCAGACCATGATATTAATAAACTCATACAAAGCGAGCATAATGAGAAAACTCAGAACACCAGGACATTAAAGGAAAAAAAACATGATTGTGACAATCAGTATAAAGTAACATTAGAATATAACCACAATCAGAGGGCTGGTGCAAAGAACTAATTTGCACGTTTCCTTCAGGTCAGGTTTTGGTTTCTAACAAAACTTGATTTTTCTTGTTGTTTTTGCATTAACTCAAGAGCTTCAAAAGTAGGGGTAACCCAAACAAAATTTATCGAAAACAGCATAACAATGTATTAAGGTTTTACTAGCACTCCAAGAAGTTGTTTATCTCTTTTGAGGTAGACAGAATTCAAATTGCCTTCATTAGCAGTGCAATATACTGTGGAAAATGAGCCTGGTACTTATCAAGAGGGTCCCTGATTAGCATTTTTGCTAAATAACCAAGCTGTTCTGGTTTTTTTCCAAACCACTCTAGAGCAGTAGAACAGGAGAGAGAGAAAAACTCATTTAGCTAAGTAATACTTGCAGCATTTTGGGGGTAGATTTTTTTTTAATATCTGTCACTGATGTTCTCTGCTCTTTTACTAGATTTTTAAATGATATAGACTATACTAGATAATGACTGTACTACATGATACAAGAACTGCTATATAAGCAGTGAACCTTAAAAATATAAAGGTTATCTCTGAGGAATATGCTTTGCACTCCTCTGCCTTTCAGCGCACTGACACTGAGTCCTGGCAAGGTATTCAGACTTCATTATATATCACCCTCAACAACCAATCCAGCAGTCCCCAAAATTTGGAAGCACTCTTATTTTTCTAAGAGAATTGTCTCTTTCATTTCTCACAATACTGTGGAATCCTGGTTAATGTCACCAGCCAGTTTTGTTCCTGACAGTATGTTCCATTTTAACAGGAATATCCCCTCCTTAAATATAAATGGATACACAAAACCACACGGGATATTAACTGTAGAAAATGCAAATTGTGAATGGATAATATAATAAGTATATTAATTTTCAGTGATACCTGCCATGGTATAATAGTTTACCCTTGATACAGATGCCAAGATCTTCCCCTCTAAGTGGTCAAAGTATTAATTTGTATAAGAAACTTCTTTTTAGGGATAGTATTCACACACCTCTGCTAACCCTTTGCTCTCCAGTCCTCTCCCACTCTTTTCTCCTTACTGAAATGTATCTCTTTAAAAGTCTTAGAGTTTGTCTACATAGGGATATTAACCGCTATCCCACAACAGTCATTCAGCAACAGACCCCATGTGGACAGTCTTATTCAAGAATAAGAGTGTCTTTTCCTGATGGGATTAAACTACAGGCACAGCAATTGCTCTTAAAATTCACATTTTGCTTTAATCCAAAATAACTTTCAAGTGCATATCAATCCTCAGATTCTATTGGGGGCCTAAACTGATGACTAAAAGGAAGCACACAATAGGAGGTTCTGTGCAGTTTCCTCAGTGAAATCTGTATATACCAAGGATTCTCAACCTTTTTCTTTCTGTGGCCCCCACAACATGCTATAAAAACTCCATGTCCCACCTGTGCCATAACAACTGTTTTTCTGCATATAAAAGCCAGGGCCACCATTAGGGAGTAGCAAGCAGGGCAATTGCCTGGTCTCCATGCCACAAGGGGCACCACAAAGCTAAGTTTCTCAGGCTTCAGTTCCTGGTGGTGGAGCTCAGGGGCCCCGGCTGCAGTCCCATGTGGTGGTGCTTTGGCTTTCTGCCCTGGGCCCTAGCAAGCCTGATGCCAACCATGCTTGGCGGAACCCCTGAAATCTGCTCATGGCCCCCCAGGGGACCTCGGACCCCTGGGTGAGAACCACTGGTATATGCAATATTTTAATTCGAATCTGCAACAGCTTTACTATTAACTCCACCTAACTGAACTCTGTCTGTTCTGAGCAGAGATTTTAAGTTATAAAGGGGGTAAAATACAAGCAATACAATCCCACAGATTTTACTGCATTGTCAAGAATTTATGATTTCATTCAGCATATAAATGAAGTTTCTGGTAGACATTCTGTTAGTTAAGGACTTCACAGTCTAGATCAATGCATTGCTGTCTCATTGAGCCTCCTACACTGAAAGAACTGCACCATTAGAAGTGTTACCATACCCTATATCCATAGTAATGAAATATTAACTTAAAGCCTTGTTGCTAGCACCTAAGTGAAAATGGTGTTTAACAATAAACTGAGGCTCTGACTTGGAAAATCCCTGAGGAAAAAAATGAAAGCCAGAAATTCCCATCAAACTGAGCAGCATTATGTGTGTGTTCTTAATTGCTGATTTTAATTTTTTCTTCTGAGTTAATGGATCTATCACGTCAGTTCAGCAGATATTTAATTTTTTTCTGCAGACAAAATAAAGATTTCTAAAGATACTTTGTCCAACCCCTCCCTCATGTGTGATAGAGGTCCTATTTAAGACAACCAAATTCATTATCTTAATAACCTGTGGCCAACTTTAACCCAGGCTTCTTGCAAGAAGCCGGTTTACTCATCCAATTAACTAAATCTTATAATAAACTAACAAAGCTTAATTTGATGAGTCATCCCAACTAATCAGGCAGAATTAAATGGTTATCAGCTGCTTATGAAGTATTCAAGCACTGCCAGTTTGAATTTCAAGAACGGATCTGTAGACACTGGGATAAAGGAACTATATTCCTGAAATGGCAAATCAAGCGTTGATTTTGCACCAAGCCATGGCATCATCATGGCAAAAAATAGCAGACCAAGTTGTAGGTCCTAATTAGCTATTGGTCACTGTTGTTAACTGATGTTTTTGTGTCATAATATCCCTGTTATTAAATGTTCAATTTTTCCTCAACCTAATTAAAGATAATATGGTAAACAAAATGCACATGAAGGTTACATTACATAAATAATTCAATGGTTGGATGAACTCAGTAGCTCCTACAAGGAATTTCATCTATCTCCAAAGAGAAACAACAATTATGTAACTTACATTTACAAAAATTCGTTTCATGTCGAAGATCCCTAACAGACCACATATTGATTGACATATTTCCACACTAATGTGGAATTAGTGAAACACCAACAGGTCCTTCCGTGCCCCAGGATAGTATGGAAATTGTTTTCTTATTGTGGAAATGCACACCACACTTGAATTCACTATTTTTAAACTGAAATCTGTTCTTACCATCATGATTAGGATTTCCCAAAGTCCATGGCTCGTCTGAGTCAAAATGAGTGTCTCCCCCAATTCCTGGCCCAGGGAAATAAGCATGGGCCAAAAATCCTCCCTCCCCGTCAAAGGGAGAACTGTCTCCATGAAAACCTGATGCAAAAATGATTGTAATATCCACATCCCTCTTGCCATTTTCTAATTCAATGTAAGGAACTTCTTCAAATGTCAGAGGAGTTACATTCTGCCACACATCAAAGGCACGGCGAATGGCTTTGCGGGTTTCGGCATCACCTACTTTTGGAGTGACGTTCTTTATGCTGAAACAAACAAACAAACAAACAAACAAACAAACAAATTAATCGGATAGAGTGCACAGTGACACAACTCACGTTCATTTTACTCTGATTACTGCAGGCACGGACATATACAGTGCTGGTAAGGCATTATATCCTCAGAGAAAAATAGCTTTCAATAAATAGGTGAGAAATTACTACATTAATCTGTGCAGTCTTTTATGCTAGATCTCATTATGGGTTAGTTATTTGATTCTCAGCGGTACAGAATTCTTATTCTAAGATCATTAAAAATATTTTCTGAAGAAAAAAATGCTTAACAGTGGGGTAACTGGATTAATCAACCACTGGCCATTTATCTCTTGGACCACAATTAGAATCAAGCTCAGCCAAAGGACTGCATGTCATTCTGATCAAAAACTGCAAATGTTCCCAGTTTAAATGAGATTTTAATTTCTTAGTGGTTACAATTAACAACAGAATAATACCATACTGTGCCCACCAACCAGAACTTAAAAGGCCCTAAAAACAATTCTTGCTACATTCAGAACTACACAACTAATTCCTAATTAGAAACATTTTTTTTCCATTTCATTACAGGTTAAGATGTCCTTTTGCTGTCTTATTAAGCACACAGTGACCTTCTGTTAAATTAAACAGTCCACGGGAAGAATCATTTGACAGGAAAGTTTGAACTGCTTCAGGAATCCGTAATGTTACAAGACCATTTGTTCTAAGCTATTTCATCAAAAGCAAGTACTCCATCTTAATTTCCATGAGAAATGTACAGAATTCGCAAACAATGTTGATTAAAATGAGCGATGGTGGAAAGTATGCTACAATCAGGAATGAAAGTGGGCCGGTACGGGCCGATACAGCATACCGGTAAGAAGCCAATTCCGTCCCGTACACAGCCCACGTTAAACCGCTGCTGCGGCAGTGCATTAACGTAGTTGCAGAGCCCCGGACACTTTTAAAGCACCACCGGAGCCCTAGGAGGAAGGGGCCAGGCAGCGCAGATGGGTTGGCTGGGGGAGGTTGACCCCCCCCCCCCAGCCCTGCCCTTTCTTTCTGAGGCCGCATAATTACTCCATTATTTTTGTTTTAAAACTGCTGCCTGTTAATTTCATTGGGTGATCCTTGGTTTGTGTGTTATGTGAAGGGCTAAATAACACTTCCGTATTCACTTTCTTCTCATCATTCATGATTTTATAGACCTCTATCGTATCCTCCTTTAGTTGTCTCTTTTCCAAGCTGAACAGTACCCATCTTTTTAACTTCTCCTCTTATGGAAGCAGCTCCATACTGTTAATCATTTTTGTTGCCCTTAATCATTTTTGTTGCCCTTCTCTTTTTCCAATTCTAATATATATATTTTGAGGTGATCAGAACTGCATGCAGTATTAAATATATGGACATACCATGGATTTATATAGTGGCATTATGATATTTTCTGTATTATCTGTCCTTTTCCAAATGATTCCTAACATTCTGTTAGCTTTTTTGACTGAGGCTGCCCATTGAGCAGATGTTTTCAGAGAACTTTCCACCATGATTCCAAGATCTCTTTCTTGAGTGGGAAAAGCTAATTTAGATCCTGTCATTTTGTATGTATATTTGGGATTATATGTTCCAATGTGCATTACTTTGCATTTATCATCAATGAATTTCTTCTGCCATTCTGTTGCCCAGTAACCTAGTTTGCTGAGATCCCTTTGTAATTCTTCACAGTCAGCTTTGGACTTAACTATTTTGAGTAATTTTGTATCATCTGCAAACTTCGTCACCTCGCTGTTTACCTTCTTTTCCAGATCATTTATGAATATGCTGGACAATAGTCAGTTACTGATCCATGAGATCCTTCTTATTCCATGATGGCTTATTTTGCGTAAGAGTCTTTGATATGAGGCCTTGTCAAAGGCTTTCTGAAAGTCCAAGTACACTATATCAACTGGATCACCCTTGCCCAGATGCTTGTTGACCCCCATAAAGAATGCTAATAGATTGGTGAGGCATGATTTCCCTTTACAAAAACTGTGTTGCCTCTTCCCTAACAAATCGTGTTCAACTATAGCTTGCCTACATTTGAAATGCTACAGCGGCATAGCTGCAGCACAGCAGCTGCACTGCTGTAGCATTTCATTGTAGACGTTCCCTATACTGATGGGAGGGGTTCTCCCTTCACTGTAGGTAATCCAACTCCTCGAGAGGTAGTAGCTAGGTCAATGAGAGAATTCTTCTGTCAACCTAGTGCTGTCGACAGTGTGGGTTAGGTTGGCTTAACTACGTCACTCAGGGATGTGGATTTTTCATACCCCTGAGTTATGCAGCTGGGTCAACCTAACTTTTTAGTGTACACTAGGCCTAAGTGTCTGATAATTCTGTTCTTTATTATAGTTTCACTCAATTTGCCTGTACTGAAGTTAGGCTTACCGGCCTGTAATTACCAGGGTTGCCTGGCAAATGTTTATGTATTCTTGTGGAATGGTCTGTAACCTCAAAGGTGACTGCTGTAAACCTAGGAAGTGTTATAAGTGTCAAAGGACTATTTGAAACAATGTACCCCAGCCAGTTATGCAAGACCTCAGCCTTTGCACCTTCCATTATGGTCTCTTCAACATCATATACAGAGTTAAAATCATCTCTCCACTCCTACTCACCTGTTTATACATGTATAGATCACCTTAGCCTTTTTTGCCACAGCACTGCACTGTGGCTCGCCTTCAGTTGTCTGACCCTAAATCCTTTTCAGAGTCACTGCTTTGCAGGATACAGTCCCCCATTCTGTAGGTATAGTGTACATTCCTTGTTCCTTGATGTATGAAACATATTTTGTTTGAATGGGGCCAGCTTACTAAGTGATACAGATGGTTTTGTAGGACTACTCTGTCCTCATTATTTACCACTGCACCAATCTTTGTGTCATCCACAAATTTTATCAGCGGTGATTTTATTTTTACTTCCAGAACACTGATCAAAATGATGACTAGCACTGGGCCCAGTACTAACCCCTCCGACACCCCAACAGAAACACCCCCATTCGATAGTGATTCCCCATTGACAACTACTTTTTGAGATCTGTCAATTAGCAAGTTCTCAATCCATTTAAAGTGTGTTCTATTGATATCATGTAGTCCTAATTTTTAATCAGAATGTTATGTGGTAGTAAGTCAAATGCTTTACAAAAGTCTAAGTATGTTACAGCTACGCACTTATCTTTATCAACCAAATCTGTAATCGCCTCAAGGAATGAAATCTGATTTGTTTGACAAGATCTATTTTTCATAAAACCGTCTTGACTGGCATTTATTAATCATATTAACTATTTCTTGTAGCAACTAACAAAGACCCTGATTCTGAAATTAGCTCTGTCTGAGTGGATCCCTAGGTCTTTCCAGAGTTGACTACAACATCAAGGCTATATTAAGATTTTTTGTAGTGAACAATACTGTACTATATGTTATTATTAAAGATATGGGAAGTGAATCCCTTGAATAGGAAGTGGTATTTAAAATCTCCTAGCAATCAGCTGTTGTGGTAAGTTTTAGAGAGCAAATTTAAACTTCGAGAGGGCTGTATGGCAGGTGAGCTAATGAGTGAGGATGAATTATATGATGGTGGGGAACTGACTGAATCCTTCAACTACTAATTTCCAGAGTTGTTAATATTTCGATTTTTTTTGAAGTATAGGTTGTTTTCCTTTGTAAGAGTATGCAGCATTTTTCAGAACTTCACTGAAATGCACTTTTGCATGTTGTGAAAAAGGTTTGCTTTTTACACTTTGAAGATTATTGATCAAAAGAACTTAATAGAAAATTAAATTGTCCTGAGGTATTTGGGCCTGAAACAAGGACTGTTCAAATCAGTTGGGGAGGTGAAGTGGAGGGGGCTTTCCACTGACCTCAGGGGGCTTTTGATCAAGCCATTAGTGTATCAATTTGCTGAAGAATCATAAAGTGTTTTTAAAAAAACAGATTTTAGTCCTGCTTTAACTGCAAATCTTAAAATAACCTTAACAATGGAGCTTCTAGCAGCACCTCCAACATTTTTTTTAAATGCCCAAGACTTTCGGTTTTAAGAAGCAATTTCTATTCATATGCTATATTATAACTACATTTTCTAGCACCTTTTTAGGAAATATAGTGTTAGCAGAATAGTGAACCAACATTGATCTGGTGGTAGATGATACAATCCTAATGTTAAACTTCAGAATGCTGGCAAGTCAGATTTTCACTCATTCACACTGTTCTCTGTGGAATTTCCCTTGACATACAGATTGCAAACCTTAGGCACAGTGGTGTAAGTTAAGTGTAGAATGAAAAGTTTAATTTTGAAATGCCCAGCCTAAGTGGATTTGAGTGAGGCCTTTAATGTTATCTTAATACAGCTTTTTTGTGTACTATATTATGTTCTACCCAAAAGGGGCTTGTGGTTCTCTGAGGGTTCTCGGTGAAGGACTGAGTTGAATGACCCGGGACGAGGAGAGATGAATGCAACTTAATTTTATTATATGATGATGATTATATAAAAATGTTAATTATTTTTTTTTAATTCTTATTAGCTTACTACAATACTATGTAGCTGATTTTTAAACAACTACAATTACTAAGTAACTAAATTTAAAACACTGACAAGTACTATGTAACTGAATTTAAACGAATAAGATAAGGGAAAGGAAACACATTAACAATCAAAGTCCTTTTCCAATTTAAACACAGTGGGGGGTAACAAACAAAGTAACCACAGACAAAGCAGTAACAGTTGACTAATTACTTATGACCATGCAAACAACAGCCAGATGGAAAAGCATATACATAATGACTTCAAGCCGGCTACACGACACACGCTCTAGGCTGGATTCGGGAGCGGAAGGGTCAAGCCCAAGTTGATCAGACCTGGACTGGTATTGACGTTAATTCGTTTTTGGGACACCTCTAATTGCTATACAGGAGCGACTAAGTATATAGGCTTTTGGAAGTAAATATGGCACTCGTTGATTGGTTTTTTAGTGCCCCAACTGTCGT